TCAGAACTGAGACACTTAGCCCTGTGGGCCCCCAATTCCTCCCTGGCACTCACCTGCAAGCCAGGACCTTCTGGGCTGGCTCTATCATTCAAAACTGCTCAGTCAACATCATCACCTCCATCTGGGAGCCAAGGCCTGGGGCGATCAGGCAACTGGAGTGCTTTCTGGAGAAGCCTGCCTCTCTTAGCCTGTGGCACCTCCCCTGGTTTCCCTTAGATCTCACTTTTCCTCAGCAGGCCCGTTTCCGTTTGAAACAGGAAAATGCCATTCTAGGTTCTCTGTAGCTCCCGCTTACTGTAGGTGACTTCACCCATCCATTCCCAGGGCACCTCCAACCATAGGCTGGTCACACCCAACATTTTCTCCAGCCCAGACTGGCCCAGCTACCTCCTGCATGTGTCTCTCTGGACAGCCCAGGAGACGCCACCGAGTCTTTGTAATGACTTCACAGATTTTGCATGATCTGGCTCCCTTATGCTGATCTCACCTTGTATCAGTCTTCCAAGCCCCCCACCCCCAGCTTGCTCAAACTCCAACTAAGCCGCAGGGTCCTTGAGCTATGTCAACTGACCCACGTGCAAAACTCCTTCCCTATTCCCCTTAAGAAGCCTTGCCCCGCAGGCAACCCCGCTATCCACAGCAGACTTTAGCCTGCACTCCCTACTTTGACACTTTGATCCAAAGCGCTCGTCACAAAGTTAGCAATTATCGATCCTGCTTGAACCCGAGCCAGGCGTCTCATGCATCGCCGCAGCCTCCGAGCCCAGCACAGGACAGCCCATGCAAATGTACGGAGGGAATGAATGGACACGCGTCCCCACACCTCAATGTGAGCCCAAGACCACGCCATTCTTTCCTGCTCCACCTCTGCTCTCCACTCGCTACCTCGGATCACCCCCAAGCCGCCTTCCGATCTGATTACCTGTTTCCGTCCCCACAATCCCCCCCTCCACGGGTCATACTCAACCTCCCCCGCTCGGCAAGCGCCATCGCCGGCACCTAAACACATGTCACTATTTGGCAGCGCCCTCTTCAGGTCTGACCTCCACCTAGGTCTCACGTTTGGCAGCAATCACATGTCGGTCCCCCTCCCGGCTTGCCCCCTATCGTTTGGCAGAGCCTGCCTCAGTCTCCCCCAGTGAGTAGCTTCTGCTCCGTACCCCACTTCTCAGGAGCTCTCCCCCCGGTCTGGCGTCCATCCTGGGCCTCCTCCTCGCGCCGGGCTACTCGGCAGTACCTGCTCGGCGCCCTGGCTACTGCTCCGCGTTGCCATGGTTCCCCGCGGGGGCCCAGCACCCCCACGGCCTGGGCCGCTCGTCCACCCTCCCTCACCCCCGGTCCGGACCGGACGCACCTTTGAAGTAGTCGTTGGCCTGTGTCTTGAGCTCCTCTGCCCGCTTCAGAGCGCCATCGGCCGGGGGCTCGTCCCGGGGGGGCTCAGCACACTCAGTCCGCTCGCCCTCCGCCATCGCCATGCCGCAAAGCGACCCCCCACCCTGGCAACGGCCGCTCGCGGCACCAGGCCGAACCGTCGCGAAGGAGCGCCGAGTGACCGCCGCCGCTGCCGCACAAGTGTCGTAAAGCGCGGGCCCCAAAGGCACGCCTGACGCGCCTGCGCGTCGCCGGGCCCCCCTCCCGCCACCCGCTCTAGAGTGCCGGGAGGACAAGGTGACCAGACGCCCCTCGCGGAAGGAGCCAATCAGAAAGAGACGGAGGTTGTAGTGCTGAGGGTGGGGGTGGCTCGGAGGGCGCCTGCTCCCAAAGTTAGAGAGTTCTGAGGCAGCAAAAGTTTCTTGGGTCTCAGAGACCCGGGATTCAGGGATTCGTTTAGGCTTGGTGATTGGGTTGTGATGCCTCGGGCGGTGGGGCGGGGGCTGCTTCCAAAGCAGCACCCTTCCCAATCGGGAACCTGCTCCGCAGTTGGGTGCTGCCTTGTTCCCCATGTGACCTTGAATAAGCCTTCCTCCTGACGCCCCAGTGACCGACCCTTCTGGAAAATGCATAGTTCCCCAAGGAAACCGAGTAAAATTTGAACCTTGCAAATCAGTCTTTCTGGATTATGAACAGGGCGTTGGATTCTCAAGTCTTGTACAAGTATCAACTGTACTGTGTTCTGGGTTCAATAGAATTTTTTAAAAATAGTGTTTATTTATTGATTTTTCTGAGACAGGGTCCCACTCTGTAGCCCTGGCTGGCCTGGAACTTGCTGTGTAGACCAGACTGGCCTTGAACTCACAGAGATCCACCTACCTTTGCCTCACAAGTGTTGGGATTAAAGGCTTGCTGCATCATGGTCCTTTTTAAAGGACCAGGACCGGGGATGTAGCTCTAACTAGACTAGCACCCTCCAGGCTCGAGTACCGTCCCAGCACCACATAAAACCAGACTGCAAGACGGACCTCCGTAATCCGAACATTTGGTAGGTGGGGAGACAAGAGGGTCAGAATCTCAAGTTCAAGGCCAGACTGGGGTGCTTGAGACCCTGTCACAAACACGCCGGAATGTCTTAAGTGACACCCGGGTTGTTGTCTGCCTCTCCCTTGCCTAGATCACAGCTTCAGCCTCCTCTGATGCTTACTTAGGTTCATCCTCCCTCCTCCAGTTTACCTTCCATATGGCAGTCAGAGGCATCTTGCTGGAACACTGGAAGGCTGGCACCCGCCCCAGCCTCCCATAGCTCCCCAACTCCCTTAGGAGAAAACGCAAACTCTTTCTGATGAGAAGCTGTAACTAGGCTGGCCTTCGGCAACATCTCCAGACTGCACTGCTCCCTTAGACCCCACATAACTGGGTTACCTTCCCATTCTACCTTCACAGGTGAGTCTCTGTAAATACTTCCCCCGCGCCCCCCTCCCCACCACAACCAACCCTGGAGTGTTGGTATCTTGTCCATTTTACACGTGAGGACATAAATTCACAGGAATCAATATACCCCTGAGAAGTCTCCCTGAAGTCAGAGTCCGAATCTGATTCCTAGGAACTAAGTTCCAATTTGACTGCCTCTGTCGGTGCCAGTGGAATCATGTGGGATGGTGAATTTTCTTCGGATTTTTTTGGAGGCAATATGTTTTTAATACATTCGAATCCAGCTTAGAATTTTCCTGAGACTGCGTGACCTCGGGTAAGGCATTGTATGACTTCCCCTGTAAAGAGGCAATAGTCATGGTGCCCGTGTATAGATAAATGAGAGGAGGTTTGAGAGAAGCCTGGCCTGGTGCCTCACACTTGCAACCCCAGAGTTTGAGAGGCTGAGGGAGAAGGACTGCCATGAGTTTGAGGCCAGCTTGAGCCATAGAGTGAGTTCCAGGTCAGCCTAGGTTGTAGCGTAAGACCCTGTTTTGATCTCTCTCTCTCTCTCTCTCTCTTTTTTCCCAGCTTAAAAAACAAACACCCTCCAACCAAACAGAAAGTTCATGTGAGTTACAGTGTTTGAACAAGAGATGCAGATAAGGACACTCAACGTTGAGTACCTTACAGGCAGCCTGAGTGCGACAGAGTCAATAGAGCTGGAATGAGGGGACTTCCAGGCGTTTAGGAGGACCTTACCCAACTGGGGAAGGCAAAAGTGGCTTCCTGGAGGAGGCGTGTTAGAACAGAGACCCGAGCTCCTTGACCAAATGAGAGCAGACGGAGAAAGGCATTGTTTTAAAAGACAGGGTCCCATGTAGCCTCTGTTGGCATTAAGCTCAGCCCTGCAGCTGAAGATAACTTTGATCTCCTCACCCTCCCACCTTCAACTAGCAAGTGCTGGCCTTACAGGTCGTGCCACTGACTGCTTTACGTGATGCTGGGGATGGAACCCAGGCCTTCGTGCGTGCTGGGCAATCGCTTTATCAACCCAGGTACATCCTCGGGAAAGACATTTTTAAAGCAGAAGGCACAGCAAAGTGCAACAACTTAAAAGTGGTCTTCTTGCCTGCGAGGAGCAAGGGACAGGGATAGAAGAGTGACACATACATGTACAGAGATGAAACGGAACAGACACACCCTCCTACGCAGAAATCTGCAGACTCACAATCACCCACGCACACACATTCACACACACTCACTCGCTCTTCTGAAATTAGTGTGCTAACCAGTCCCACACGCATATGCAGTATCACAACACCATCCAGACGTTAAAAAAGAAACCACAGTGCCGGGCTGGAGACATATAGATCAAGTGGTAAAGTGCTTGGCTAGCATGCAGCAAGCTTCCGGGTTCGATCCCCAGGCCCAAATAAAACGGGTGTGGTGAAGCATGCCTGTAATCCCAGCCCTAGGGAGATAAAGGCAGGAGGATAAGAAGCTCTTAGCTACATAGTGAATTAAAGGCTGGCCAGGGATATATCAGACCCCGAATTAAATAAACTCCACGGGCTCCTGAGAAGTGCCAGCAAGTAATGATGCTGCCACCAAGCCTGATGCCCTGAGAGTATGATGCTCAGGACCCACATGGCGGAAAACAAGAACCAACTCCTGCAAGTCATCCTTTGATGTCTACACACATGGCATGCGTGCGTGCACACGCACGTATACACACACACACACACAGTGAAAAAATCACAATGCTTCCACACAAGTAACCACAGAAAAACATACAGATCCTAGCATCAAAATGTAAGAGTTATCACACCTGTTCTCAATACTGAAGTATTGCACACAGACCCCACATGAGTACCCAAAATGTCGACATCAGCATACATAACACAGACTCATGCAAGAACACACACACACACACACACACAGAGAGAGAGAGAGAGAGAGAGAGACAGGCAGGATGGGGATTGGAAAGAAACACAGAAGCCAAATGTGGTGGTATGCCTATGTTATCCCAGCACTTACGAGATAGAGGCGGTGGATCAAAGTTGAAGGTTATCATTGGCTGCATAGTGAGTTTTGGGGCTAACCTGGCCTACAATAGGCTTTGTCTCATTGTCCACAAGCAGACAATGGATTCCAGCTACACAGTACACCCACACCCTCCAAAGTGGCCCCACAGATGAGTCAACACACATCTCTCTGGTGCCTGCCAAGGCGAGGTCTTTATGGTGGCTTGGGAGACATTTTTGGGTTTCTGAGCCAGCATGGCTGGGGCATGTCCTTCCTCTCTCCTAGTCAGGACAGTTCCTTCCATTGAGGGCCCACAAAACCCATGAGGGGAGAGGAGGCTCACACCCTTTTCCCTGTAGCACCTGGACAGGCCACCTCTGTCTTGACAAGAGACAGATTGAGTGGTGCCTTCCATAGAATCATGAATGGGACAGAGAGGGGAGCCTTTTCCTGTGGAAGACCAAGAGTAGCACCATTGTAGAAAGGGAGCTGGGGTCAGGAGGGTGCGTAGCTGGTGGGAGACAGCTGAGGGGTCCTGCCCTCTTTCCCCACCCCAAGATATGCAGATAGGGCTGTGCGTGTGCCTGAGTGGCTGGATGATGGAACCCCAAGGGAGGGGAGGGAGCCCCAGGTCCCTAGATACCTGGAGTAAAGTTAAGGTTAAGGGCATGCCTGGAGGCTCGGGGTGAGGAGTGAAAGAGGTTCTAGGATAGAGAAATTTTAGGGCTACAAGACGGGAGGGGCTTGGAGATGAAGTTCATGAGCAGAGGATCTGGCCTGGGAAGCCTTGAGAGGTCAGGGAAGAACTGAGGGCTGGGAAGCCCAGAGCAGAGCTAGAAGGATTAGATCTGGACCTAAAGAATCAAGGCATGTGGGGAACCTACAGAGTGAGTTCTAGATTCTATAACAAGAAACATTCTACAAGCCCACTGGGAGGCTGCATTCTTAGAACCTGAAGAAATAGGATCAGAAGTCAGAGGCCCAGACCCCAGTGATTCATGAGTGGTGGCACATTAGAAAAGGTCTATGACGGAGCGTGTGTCTCACAAAGCTGGGTTTCACCCCTGTCAGCACATAAAGTGATTGCAATGGTGCACTCTTTTAATCCCAACATTTGAGGTGGAGGGCAGAGGATCAGAAGTTCAAGGCCACCCTGAGCTACATGAAATCCTGCCTCCTCTCTGGGAGGGGAAAAAAAGCCCCCAAACTAAATTCTAGAATCCACAGGGATTTTTTGGATCTTACAATCTAAAATAGGAAAGAGTTGGGGTTCTAAGGTTTAGTACTAGAGAAATCTATAAGGCAAGACATTATCAGCTGCTATTTTCAAGATGTGTTCTAGATTCAGGGTAATTTCAGTCATAAGAGCTGAAGTAAGGAGGACTTGACAATTGTGGGGTCTAGAACCAAAAGAACTCATGGGGCAAGGTCTAGATTTAGAAGACATTTACAGAGGCTGAGTGTAGCTCAGTTGGTAGAGTACCAGCCTAGCATGCATGAGGCTCTGGGTTCAATACCCATCACCACATAAAACCAGACATGCAGGTAATCCCAGCACTCGGGAGGTGGGTGAAGGGGTATCACAAGTCCAAGGTATTCCTTGATTACATGGCAATTTAGTAGTGGTCAGTGCCTTTTGAGACACTGTTTCAAAACAGTATCAAAACGCAGGAGTTTTTTGTTTTGTTTTGTTTTTTTAAGACAGGATTTGTCTGCATAGCCCTAGCTATTCTGGAGCTTTCTCTATAGATCAGGCTGGACTCAACTCACAGAGATCTACCTGCCTCTACCTCCCAAGTGCTGGTATTAAGGTGTGCATCACCAACCCCTAGCTTGATATTTGAAGCTTACTAATAGGCAGATCACCAGGTCATCTGAGAACAGAGAATCCCGGAAGTTTCAAGGTCTAGAGTTTGCATAGTTCAAAACCTGGGGACGATGGAGGTGGTGAAATCGAGAACCCAAGAGAATGGGCACATGGTGTCTGATTCAAGAAGAGTTGGCTGCAAGTTCAAGACATAAGACTCACTTCGCCCTTCCTTACTGGGGGAAAGCAATTCTTGAATTCTTGAGTGCAGAAACATGAAGAGAAATAAGACATTGTGAGGTCTGGGACCAAAGCGATTAAAAATGAGATCTTGACTTGAAACCAAATATCTTACAAATCAAAAGATTGGAGCCAACAGGAAGCTTGGAGTTGTGGAATCCAGAAACAAGATGGAATCGTCAGTTAAAAGATCAACTGGCCTCTGTCTCAAAGGCCTGAAAGTCCCAACTACTTGGGAGGTGGAGGCAGGAGGATCATGAGTTCAAAGCCTGCATAGGTTTACAGAGTGAGTTCAAGGTTAGTCTGAGCAATTGATCAAGATCCTGTATCAAAATAAGAGATAAAAAAAGGACCAAGGTTATAGCTCAGTGGTAGAGTGTTTGCTTAGGAGGTGCAAAGTCCTGGTTTTAATTCTCAACACCATGCATGCAAATGGTCTGCAATGACGGGGAGCAGAGGGCATGGGAACTAGAGGGATTTTTAAAAAGAGGTAGAACCAGAGGAAATCAGAGAATGAATTTGGTATCAAGAGGATTCTAGTAGTTATAGGCTCTAGCCTCAGAGAGCCTTACAGAGATTAGGTAATTCAAACCACACTTTAAAACACTGAGGTTTGAAAACAGACAGAACCAGGAACTGTGAGAGCCAGTTAAAGAAAGAACTGAAGACTGTGAGATCTGGAATTAGAAGGGTTTGAAGAAACTGAGGTCTGTAGCAGACCACATTGGAGGTGATGCAGTCTAGAGACAAGGGGAAGTTAGTGACAGCACAGTCTAGAACCAGGGAATGCCAGAGAAGGTTAGTGGTCATATAGTTTGGAACCAATGAAGACTAGAGGCATCATTGCCTAGAATCAAAGATGGTCACAGGCTGTATAATCTAGAATAACAGTTCTCAATCTGTGGGTTTCAACTCCTTTGGGGGTTGCATATTAGATATCCTGCATAGCAGATAATTACATTATGACTCATAACAGTTGCAAAATTACAGTTAGGAAGTAGCAATAAAACAATTTTATGGTCGGGGATTACCACAACACAAGGAGCTGTAGTCAAGAGCTGCAACATTAGGAAGGTTGAGAACCATTCCTCTGGAACCACAGAAGAGCAGAGGGCCCACAGTCTAGAATCATAGACAAGGCCGGAAAAATGGCATGGTCTAGAACCACAGCAGGGTCATAAGGTGTGCTGTCTAGAATCAGGCAAAACACCAGAGAACGTACAGACGAGAGAGAAGATCAGAGGTTGCCTAGTCTAAACTGAAGAAGGCAGAAATAACACAGCTTAGAACCATGGAGGCCAGGGGCCACAGTGTCTATAACAAGTGAAGGCCAAAGGTCATGGGTCTAGAACCAGAGGAGACTAATGGTGGCACAGTCTAGAGTCAAGGAAGCCCACAGCTCTCAGTCTAGAAACAGATGAGGGTGCTGAGTCCAAAAGCTAGGGAGAAACCATGGATTGAACACTTTAGAACCAGAGAGTAGAAACTCTAGAACCAGAGAGGGCACAGGCCAGATGTTGCACAGTCTACAAACAATGAAGGTAGGGAGAAACCATGGATTGAACACTTCAGAACCAGGGAGTAGAAACTCTAGAACCAGAGAGGGCACAGGCCTGTGCCCAGGGAAGGCCCGAGGACATACAACCTAGAACCAACAAAGACCAGGGGCTGCACGGTCTAGATACAAGGGAGGCCCTGGTTCTTGCTGTGTAGAACCAGGGAAGATGGAAAGTGGGATAGCCTAAGACCAGGGAAGGCCAGATGTTGCACAGTCTACAAACAATGAAGGTAGGAGTCAAGTATTCTAAATCTAGGGTCAGATATTATGGGTCTGCAGAGTGGAGGAAGTTGCTGGGTACGCCTTAAAACAGATCACAAATGAAGTCATGATTCAGGCCAGGTTGGTGCCGGGCAGGAAGTCAGGAGCAGAAAGGGAAGGCAGAGCTGGGTGGCAGCTCAGGAGGCTGAGACTCCACAAGTCGCCGCGGGTGAGGGGATCCTGATCCCCCTCTGTCACCGAGGAGGAGGAAGATCAGAGTCCCGCATTGTTGTGGACCCTGTGCAGCGCAGGGTGCCTGAATGTGTCATCGCGAGAAGGACAAAGTAAAGCTAATGGTAGAGTGATGGAAAGCACAACAAAACAAAACATAAAAACAAAACAAAATGTGATTATGGCCGTCCGAACTCCATGGAGCCAGGATCAGAGACAGATCCCAGACTCTCTCAACCCCTCAACCCCCTCAAATAAAGCAAAGACAGTCAGAGAAAGGGATAGTGAGGTAACCAACTATGGAGAACTCCAAGGGAAGTCCTGAGGACGTGGAGGGGTCACACGCCCCCTCCCAGAGGTCACTGAGCTGCAAACACTCCAGGAAGCCCCTGAATGGGTGAAGGCAGAGGGCTGGGGACTGAGGTAGGTCTGACGCTGGCCGGAGGCTTGGTGAGGGGCACTCAGAGGAGAGAGGCTCTGTCCTGGGTGTGGGTTGATGGTGTGGAGTGTGGATGAGTCCTTTCTGGGGTAGAAGAAGGGAGTTGGGGTGAGGGCTGACTCAGTGGACCTGGGCCAAGCCCACTGCTGGTGAGACGTGGTTCCGGGACTGGATAGTTTCCTCATGCTGGTAGAGAGAGAGCAGCGAGGGAGCTAGGCCTGCAGAAAAAGGGAAGGGAAATCAGAAGAGGATTAGCACCCAATCAAGCCGGGCGTTGGTGGCACACACCTTTAATCCCAGCACTCGGGAGGCAGAGGAACGCAGATCTCTGTGAGTTCCAGGTCAGCCTGGTCTACTGAGTGAGTTCCAGGACAGCCTCCAAAGCTGTAGAGAACCCCTGTCTCGAAAAACAAAAGAACAAAACAAAAACAAAAAGATGGTGCAGCAAAAGGCTGCAGATTCAGGATCACCCCACCCTGCAGCCACAAGGGGAGGTGTTTCTTGAGTACTTACTACCTAATAGTTCTTGGGTGAATTCTGCTCATGCATCCCCCCCCCCTCATAAATCAATTTCTCCAAACAGGTCCTCCAGGTAAGAACTGTAGTCATTGGTTCCCACCGGTGGACAGGAGAGGTGAGGCTTCATAGCACCTGTCCCAAAGCTGTGCGGCTGGGAGCTACCTTGTGGAGTGACTTCAACTTGGGCAAGCTTCGAAGGGGAGCCCCATCTGGGTCCACAAGACCTTGGCTTCCGTCCCAAGGGGTAGCCTTGGTCAGTTCTTACCCTCCTTAGAGTCTCTGTTTCTCTCCACAGGGCTCAGGAGAAGAGGGGAGGGCTACCTGAGGGCACCCTCTACATTGGATAGTTTTATGTCAACTTGATGTAAGCTAGAGTCATCTGAGAGGAAGGACCCTCAACTGAGAGAATGCCCCCATGCGACTTTAGGAAGGTCTGTAGGACGTTTTCTTAGTTAGTGATAGATGGGTGAGGGTCCAGCTCATTGTGGATGGAGTAACTCCTGGGCTGGTGGTCCAGGGTTCTCTAAGAAAGCAGCTGAGCAAGCCATGAGGAGAGAGCCAGTAAGCAGCACCTCTCCATGGCCTCCATATCAGCTCCTGCCTCCAAGTTCCTGCTCTGACTTCCTTCCGTGTTGGACTGCAGTGTGGCAGTGGAAGTGAAATATATCCTTTCCTCTCCAAGTTGCTGTTGGCCATGTGTGTCATCACAGCAAAAATAACCCTAGCCAAGACACCCTCCTTCACCTACCCCCAAGACGGTTCCATTCTTCTCTTAGTCATTTGTGGAACCATCAGGGGAAGGGACCTGAAGTTTCTGTATACCCAGGTTGTTGGGACTCACCCAAGGGCTCGTGGGAAACCAGAAGTGGGGTTCTTGGATCCTGCTGGTTCCCTGGGAACTGTCGACCTTGCAGAAGGAAACTCTGGAAAGTTAGGGAGACAGAGTGGTCATCATCACCATCGTCAGAATGCACACCATCAGCAGCAGCATCACTATTCGCCTGAGTATCATCAACAGCAGCACAGCATCTTCAACATCATCAGTCCCATCTGTATCACTAGCAACAGCAGTACCATCACCATCATTAGCATAATAACTGTTATCATCAGCATCAGCACCATCATTATCATCAACAACAGCACCATCACCATCCCAACCACCACCACCACCATCATCATACATTTGACAAGACTGTATAGTGCAGGGGTTAACTGGAGTCTGGAGAGTACTAGTCTCTTGGATGACTGTGCCCCCAGAGGCTGACTCCATTGCTGTGCAATTTTGCTGTTTTCCTACTGTACTAAGAAGATGGGTAACCCTAGCAGGTGTAGGAGGAGGAAGGTGGCATACAGCTCTTTCCCTGCTGGGCTGCAGTAGGTTGGCCGTGTCCCATTCTGGAAGGTGTTAAGCTTTAACGTCTAGAGGTAGTGCTGGCCCCAATGCTACAGAGTCTTTGTGGCTTGCAGACGCTGTACTCACGCCACAATCTTGCCATTAAATTCTCTGCACTCCACCTAGGTGTGCTGTCTAGGCTGAGGGATAATAACTGCTTAACTTCCTCTGTGTAACTGTCTCACCATAATGACACTGATTCATTTAAGCTTTTCTTGAGACAGGGTCTCTGTGTAGCCCTGGCTGTCCTGGAACTCGTTCTGTAGACCAGGCTGGCCTGGAATTTACAGAGATCTGCGTGCCTCTGTTTCAGGAGTGCTGGGATTAAAGGTGCGAGCCACCACATCTGGCTAAATAAATTAATCTTGTGCGTTGTACTTACTGAGGCCAGGATCAGCACACAGTAAATGAGAGCTACTGATATTATCATTCCCCCCCTTCATATCCAAACAGTTCTTGTAGACTCTGGAGCTGAGTTCTTTGGGAGACAGGGAGGCGTTAAACAGAGGTATTGTGGAAGTCATACAATCTAGGGAAGCTTTATGAAAGAATCCAGATTTTGCTGTTGTGCACAATAAATCTTTTTTCTCACTTTGTTTTTTGAGACAGGCTCTAACTCTGTAGTTCATGCTGACCTCAATCTGCTCATCCTCCTGCCTCAGTCTCTCTAGGGCTGGGGTTATGGGCGTGGCCACCACACTCAATGTTTATTCTTTAAACTCTGTATGGGTACCCCAGAACCGAGGCGTCTCATTTTGGAGGGGGACCCCAGGGAAGCAGAGAAGATTCCTCCTCATCCGATGAACTGCCTCACTCCTCTTAATCTACTTCTCGTCTCTTATTGGTGTTAGCCGTGTATTTGCAAAGCCATTTCACGCTCATTAGCAGACTTAAGAGGATCAAGGTCCGGTCTTCCATCTGACCTTCAGCCAGTCCCTGGCTCTTTCTGGTTTCCCCATCTATGAAACAGGAGGTTTGAAACCTGCTAGGTTCAGAGGGTTGAAGAACCCCACCCCCAACTCTCTAAACTTACCAGGCTGAGGGGAGGCAGCCGGAAGCTTCCAGGTTCTAGGCTGGGGGACCGCTTGGCAGGTTTTATTTCCAGCAGCTCCGCCCCTTTGTCCTCGGAGCTCTGGGCCAGCGCCCTGTAGAGACACAGACAAGACTCTCAAAACACAGCAAACCTGGGCAAGCGTGGGTCCCCGTGTCGGAAGCTGACGCCTGCCCCAAACAATGGTTTAGTCCTTTGCATACAGGCCTGCCAATCCACCCCTCCCCCCACCAACCATCGTCTCCCTCTTTGGCACTGTGACCCATCTGTTTCCACACAATGAGCCTTCCTCTACCTTCTCCCCTCCCCTCCTGTCTATTCATCCACACATTCCTCCCCCCACCTACTCGCTCAGCCTACCCGCCCACCCACTCACCTATCAGTCCACTCATTCATTCGTTCACTCTCATTCGTTCTATCGTCCTGTTCATCCATCCGGTGACCCATCTACACTTCCATTCATCGACGGATTAACCCACCCTCGCAGGCTCCATCTTTTGTCTTCCTTCTTTTGTCTCTGTCTCTCATGCTACCCATTCACCTATCCTCTGAGTGTTCCGTTTACTTAGCTACCCATCCATCTAGCCACCCAGGCACCTTCCAGCCCCCAACCACTCATCTATTGATATTTTTTATCTGTCCATTTACCCATTTACCTACCCATCCCCCTATCCATCCACTGATTTTTCCCATTTCTCCATCCACCCACCCACCCACCCATTTATCCATCTATCCACCCATCGCCCCCCACAACGGCAATACGGTTCAGCACTAGAGAAACTGCTTAGAACCCATCAGTGAGGGGGCTGGGGTTATGACTAGAATCTCCTAATGAGAGGCTGAGCTATGTGACCTTAAACATGTGACTGATGTATCTGGAGTGGTGGATTCTAGATAAGTGCTCTACCATTGAACCACGTGCCTAAATCCTCACTGGGGGATTCTAGGCAGGTGCTCTCCCACTGAGTCACACCCCAAGTCCCTCACTGGGGGATTCTAGGCAAGTGCTTGGTCGATTTTAGGCAAGTTCTCTACTGAAGAGCTATATTCCCAGTCCCGGTTTCTCGTTGTAACAAAAAGTGCCAATAAGTCATATGCAAATGTGTCCTTAATGGCTGATGGCTGGCTGCAGTGGTATTTGGGTAAATGGTGAGAGCAGTGGGCGGGGTTCCAGAGGGGGCTACAAAGGTTGGAATAAACCTGGAGTACGCTGGGAACATGGAGGACCTGACTGGAGATGTGGGGACGGGATCATGCTGAGGGAGGGGGCTGCTGCACAGACCTTCTGCATGCCTGTGTTATGTCTTTCATATGGCTCACCTCTTCCTAGTTCCGGGCACCAGGGAGGCTGTGGAGGGATCCCCCGTGGAGGGGCTGGAGCAGTTCAGTCTCGGATCACTCCCCCAGCGGGGCAGCAGGGAGGGCTCAGGGCTCGGGGGCGGGGGCGACAGGCCATGGAAGCTCCGAGCCCGGGGTCTGCGGGTCACCCTGGGAGGTCTGCGGTGGGTTCTGGGCAATTGCTCGCTGGAGTTGAGCTGGAAGTCATCATCCATGGAGATGTAGGGGGCCAGCATCTCCAAGTCCAGAGTGTCAGGGTCCTGTAAGGGGGCAGAGCGAGTTTACAGCAGGAGCCATGGCCTGGGTAGGCAGCCCTAAGCTGGCTGCTGGGTGTTCACTCCTCTGAGGTGTTTGTCTGAAGAGCTGCTTTTCCTGCCCTATCTCTCAAATGGGTACAATGACTGTGTGATAGTCAGTTCCCAAGATGCTCCAAGGATTCTCCTTGGGTCCAAGCCCCTTCCACAGAGGTCAGTCAGGTCAGACACGGTTCTGCGTGTCTTTCCCATTTAGCTGTAAGGCGTGATAGCTGTGACAGCCGGCATCTGTGTTACTCTCTGTGTCTCTCTTTCTGTGTCTTTGTGTTTGACCAAGCCTCTCCAGCTCTGTCTGTCTCTTCTTTCTTTTGTGTCTGTCTCTCATGCTATCTGCTCTTCTTCATCTTCTTCATCTGTCTCTCTCTCTTTTTTGGTTTTTCGAGACAGGGTTTCTCTGTATTGTTTTGGAGGCTGTCCTGGAACTCACTCTGTAGACCAGGCTGGCCTCGAACTCACAGAGATCCACCTGCCTCTGCCTCCCGAGTGCTGGGACTAAAGGCGTGCGCCACCACCGCGCGGCCATCTGTCTCTTCTTAAACCCTGTCTCTCTGTTTTTCTATTCCCCTGTCTGTCTCTTTCCAACTTTCTCCTTCTTTGTCTCCGTGTCTCTCAAAGTGTCATCATCCACCCATATATCTATCATCATCCACCCACCCACCCACCCACCCATCCTCATCCATCCATCCATCCATCCATCCATCCATCCATCCATCCATCCATCCATCCTTCTGTAAAGCCAGATAAGATGACCTGTTCTAAGCCAGTCCTCACCTGAGCTTTATCTAGATTTGTCTCCACAGTCTTGCTTTTCCGGGCAGCTGAGAGTCTGTAAGCATTCTCTAAGCCCTCTAGAAACTGATCTGGGAGATCAGCCTGGAAGAGAGCAGAAACACCACAGACTGAGTCTGCAAGTGTTGACAGTAAGATCTTGGGGGAGGGGGAGGGGGATCTTAAGCTGGAGCTTGCAGGTGGTCAAATAGCAATCCAAAGAAGGGTGTTTTTGTTTATTGCTTGCTTGTTTTTGTTTTTGAGACATTGTCTCATGTAGTTTCAGCTTCCCAAGTACTGGGATCTTGGGTGTGTGTCACCATACTTATCTTGTAACTTAAGCCTTAGAGAAACCCCGTCTTATCCCAAACATGGAGAAACTGAGAACAGACTCAAGCCAGAGGCCCAAGCAACACGGGTTCTGTGTGCTCAGGGAGGTGACACTGTTTACCGGAAGAGGACTTTGGGGTCTCTGGGTAGCCTGTGGGGTGCTGGGGGTGACGCCTATGGGAGGCCCATCCAGGATGGGTGCCATGAGGCGGCGCAGGTCTGGGCTGCAGAAACGGCGAGGATCAGCAGCCAGGGAGGCCTCACTCAGGGCCGGAGGGTGCAGGAAGGCCAGGATCCGGGGAGGAGGTGGGTCTGCAGGATGAACAGAACAGTGCAATCACACAGGGCCGAGGGCCAGACCTACTCTGCTGTGCTCAGCCTAGACTAGGTTTACGGTTTACGGATGGAGATGAATGGCCAGAGGGCTTCAAGCTAGGCCATTTCACAGTCAGATTGCTATGGAGCCCTGGAGGGTCCTTGGGGGAAGGGCCTAGTGGCTGCAGACATCTAGTGGCATCTGGACATCATGTGGTCCGAGGTGTTAAGACTGACTACTGGAGACAACTCCCTGCCCCGCCCCAAGGAGCAGGGAAGTGTGAGCAGTAGGGAAACACAGCGGGAGGAAGAGAGGGCCACAGAAACTCAAGCAAGCATCTCCCTGGTGGATATAGGGAGGACGGAAGGGGAAGCCGTTCTAATCAGAGGAACTGCACGCAGGAAGGCAGCAGCGGAGGGAAAAAAATGTGCTGCGGCATGCCCCGAGAGCTGAGGGGAAACCAGTGTGGCTTGGTGGGAGGGAGGCTGCGGAAGGTCCCCCACGGCCTTGTGAGCTGTGTGAATGCATTTGACCTTTCCTCTAGGGGGCCCTGAGGACACAATGGCCTCCATCCATACCTAGACTGTTGCCAGGGATACCCTTCTTCGAGGAGGTACCCCGTTGAGGGAGTCTGCGAGAATGTTGCTCTGTTTGTTCCAGGGACAGCACCACTCCGGTCTCTTCTACCCGGCTTGGGTGGGGGAGCGGGGAAGCAAGAAGAATGGTTGTCAGAGAGTGTCCTGGCCCACCCACCTGCCCCCAGGCGGCTGCTTCCAGTGTCTTCCTACAGAGGCCATATCACCTAGGAGCTGACAGGAATTTCTCAGAAAATAATTTCCCACAATGCTTTCTCACCAGGGTTTATTTTGTTTGTTTTTGAGACGAGTCTCTGTGTAGCACAGACTGGCCTCATTATGTAGTCATGGAAAACCTTGAACTTCTGATTCTCCTGTCATCACCTCCTGAGTGCAGGGATTACAGGCACTTACCACCATGCTCAGATTATGGGGTCTGGGGAGGAACGACGGGCTTCGAGCATGCTAGACAAGCATTCTACCAACTGAACTACATCCCTAACCCCTCAGAAATGCTTTTGCGCTCAAATATTTAGGATAAGGGACACTCAATCTGTAATGACATTTATTTATTTAGTTAGTTTGTTTGCTGTACTGGAGATTGAACCCAGGATCCCATGCATGCTAGGCAAACCCTTTTCCACTGAGCTGTGTCCCTAGCTCCTGTGACGGTGATGAAAAGAAACTTAAAGGCTGGGATTGCTGGAGCCAACATACATTCTAGTACGCGTGAGGCTGAGGTGGGAATTGTGAGAGTTAGAGGCTGGCTTGAGCTACCACCATGAGACCCTGTCTCAACAAGACAAAACAAAACAACGTGCTGGACTTGATGGCTTCTGCCTGTAGTCCCAAGACTTGGGAGGCAAGAGGGTCAGGGGTTCAAAATTAGTCTCAGCTACACAGTGAATTTGATGTTTGTCTGCTCTGTAGAAAACTGTGTCTCCAAGAAACTAAAAAACAAACAAACAAAAAACCCCAAATCAACCCCTCCCCAAAACCATATTCTTCATTACATTTCCAAATATGAAGAATTCATAGCTATACTTCTATGAATAAGTATTTATTTGAGAAGCTTCTATTCATAGACATCTCCATCCTCAAGGGAACAGGTTTATAAATACATCCTTTTTCTGTCCCCCCGCACCTCCCATCCCACAGTCTCTGGATCTGGAGACAACCCAAAGCTGGCTGGGTAAATTGGCTTTGGGGGGAGTGAATCTGAGGGTAAGGACCATGCATTCATTTGCATCCTATTAGCATAATAATCCCATAGGGCAGAAGGCAGGTGGGTCTAGAGCTTCCTGCAGCTCTTGGAGAAGCTATGACTCTATCCTCACTAGACCTGTCCTGGAGATGTACCAATTTAAGACAGCCACCTTTATCCCATTAAAAGACAGAACATAAATAGCAACACAGGCACACACTCGGCACACACAGACACACAGACACGCCTTCAGACACCCAAGTATTTAGAGGAAAAGACACATTCATGCACAAGAAAGCCTCTATGTACTTGGTGTCATATATATTCATATAGGCTACATGGAGTTCATTCATTTATTCATTCCACAAACACCTTTCAGTTAAGCATCACTACACAGAAGTTGATAACAAGGACTATGAAGCTAGCAGCTTGGGTTCAAATCTCAGTTCTGACATTTCTGAGCTATGTGTCCTTAAACATGTGACTGAATGTCTCTGGACTGGTGTACTCTAGGCAAGTGCTCTACCACTGAGCCACACCCCAGCCCCTCACTGGGGGATTCTAGGCAGGGGCTCTACCACTGAGCCACACCCCCAGCCCCTCACTGGGGAATTCTAGGCAGGGGCTCTACCACTGAGCCATACCCCCAACTGCTCTCTGAGAGATTCTGTGCAGGAGCTCAACACCCCCACCCCAGCCATTTCCCCAGCCCCTCACTGGGCCATTCTAAGCAGATGCTCTACCCTGGATTTTATCAATTCGATGTTGGCACCACTGGAATTCACATACATTGATGAAGGGAATGCAAAATACCACATCACTGTGAAAACAGTTTTTTTCAGTGCCTTAAAAAGTTAAATTTTCATGGAAACATATGACCCACCCATTCCCCTCCTAGATGTTTACCCAGGAGAAATGAAAATGTCCATTCTCACAAAATCCCACTTGAGAATGTTTATAATGGCTGTTTGTATAATCCCCCCAAACAGGAAACAGCCTAAAGTCCTCCAACTGGCACATGGATAAATAAACATTGGTCCACTCATTCTCCAATGACCACTAGTCACCATGAGAAAGGAACTGTTGGTCTAGACCTAGTGGTTCACGTTTGTAATCCCAGTACTCGAGAGCTGGAGGCAGGAGGATTGCTGTGAATTTGAGACCAGCTCAAACCCCAGTAAATATTTTGTTGTTTTGTTTTTCAAGACAGGGTTTCTCTGTGTAACAGCCCTGACTGTCCTGGAACTTGCCTTGGAGACCAGGCTGGTCTGGAACTCACAGAGATCAGCCTGCTTCTGCCTCCCGAGTGCTGGGATTAAAGGTGTGTGCCACCACCGCCTGGCTCAGTAGTTATCTTTAATCCTAACATGCAGGAGGCAGGAGGCAGGAGGCAGGAGGCAGGAGGCAGGAGGCAGGAGGCAGGAGGCAGGAGGCAGGAGGCAGGAGGCAGGAGGCAGGAGGCAGGAGGCAGGAGGCAGGAGGCAGAGGCAGAGGCAGAGGCAGAGGCGCAGGTATATCTCTGAGAGTTTGCGGCCAGCCTGGTCTATACAGAGTACGAAGACAGCCAAGACCGCTTAGAGAAACCATGTGTCGAAAAAACAAAACAAAAGAAAACAAAAACACACACACGGAGATGGCGCACAAGTGTGTTCAGATGGCGATATGCGTTCTGCACAGGCACAGGTATACACGTCCTTATACATGCTCAACACACAGACCTGCCTATGCACCCCTCTGCACGCATTACACCCCTCTGCTCACCTGATCAGGAAGTGGACGCAGATGATGCTTTCTGATTGGGGGCCGCGTCCCCCTGACACCACCGTAGCCTGAGTCTGAGTCCACAGGTAGCCTCCGGTCCGGGCCAGGAAGCGATATTGCCCTGTAACTGCCTGGCCCTTGCTCAGCACTGGGGAGAGAATGGGTAGGGATCAGGCTCATGGCAGAGAAAGCTCAGGAAACTGGAATGAGAAGTCCTAGAAGACAATGCAGATCCTAGCATTGGGGTTCAGGGGGAGGCAGGAGTCCCACAAAGCCCTGGGCTTTCTGTTCAAGAGATCAGGGATTGCTGTGAGATGGGGGTCATGCAGCAGCTGGCTCTGGCCTGGGGACATGTTGGTCACCTACAAGTGTGAATGCTTCTGCTGACTGCATCAGAGTCCAAGGCGTGGATGTATTCATAGGCAGAGCAGCCAATCAGGTCATCTGGGCTGTAGCCAGCGACTTCTGCGATCCTGAAGTAAAATGGAGAGGTACTACTGGTCAAGGCCCAGATGGAGGGAAGGGGCAGGTGTCACAGACGACAACAGCAGCAAGACAAGAGACAGGGCAGCAACAGGAAGGCAAAGGGAGGGTAAGAAACACAGAGAATAGAGTGTAGCAACTTACACCTGTGAAAACAGCATTGAGGCGTTGAAGCAGGATTGTGAATTTTAGGCTTGGGATACAGCAAGGCCATATCTCAAAAAGCCGAGGGTTCAGGGCATGCCTTAGTAGTAGAGCCTAGAATTCTCCAGCAGCTGGGGTGTGGCTGAGTGGTAGAGCCCCTACCCAGAATCCCCCAGTGAGGGGCTGGAGTGTGGTTCAGTGCTAGTGCCCCTACCCAGAATCCCCCAGTGAGGGGCTGGAGTGTGGTTCAGTGCTAGTGCCCCTACCCAGAATCCCCCAGTGAGGGGCTGGAGTGTGGTTCAGTGCTAGTGCCCCTACCTAGAATTCCCCAGTGAGGGGCTGGGTGTGTGACTCAGTGGTAGACCATCTGTCTAGAATCAGCCCCACCACCTGTGGGGGCTCCTCATGTCCCGTGGGGGTGTGGCTCAGTGGTAGAGCCCTTGTCAAGCATGTGTAAGGTCCTGCATTCCACTCCTATCACAACAATAAGTAAATAAGTGAAAAAAGACACTAGTGTGTGTGTGTGTGTGTGTGTGTGTGTGTGTGTGTGTGTGTGTGTAGGGAAGGGTGGAAAAAGAAGAAACAGAGGAGATAAATAAAATAAAGAAAGTGAGCCAGGCGGTGGTGGCGCACGCCTTTGTTCCCAGCACTCGGGAGGCAGAGGCAGGCGTTTCTCTGTGAGTTCCAGACCAGCCTGGTCTACAACAGCTAATTCCAGGACAGCGTCCAAAACAATACAGTGGAACCCTGTCTCGAAAAACAAAAAACAACAACAACAACAAAAAACAAAAAACAAAAAAAAGAAAGAAAAGAAAATAAAGCAAAGATGGAGCAGAAACTTCAAAAAGAAAGAATGAAAACCAATACAGGCTGAAAACGACACGTGTGCATTGCGCTATGCACTGTGCCAGCAACGAGTGCTGACGACAATGGCGAAAGAGAGGGGACATTAGTTTCCTACAGGATAGGTGACACTGACGTATAGAGAGGTGACGTCACTTGGTCAATGTTACAGACCCGGGATGCAGAACCTAGGGTCATTGCTTCTGAGTACGTAGCTTAGTCCACAGAATGCTTTCGGAGCAGGCACAAAAAGCCCTGGGTTCCGTGCCCAGCATGCTGGCAATCCCCCTCCTTCAGGAGGTAGAGGCAGGGTGATTAGACCAGAGAAAAAGACAGACAGACAGACACACACACACACACACAAACACCCCAACAGACAGACGGAGAGGGAGGGAGGGAGAGGGAATTCGGGTAAACCCAATGAGAGAAGATGGTGGGTGTGGGGTGTGGGTGTGGGGTATGGGGTGTGGTTCCACCCAAAGCCACTGCCCACCTCTCGTCGCAGTAGGTGAACTTCATGTCCAGGCTGTGGCGGCTGAGAAAGGTCCCTCGCCCCAGAGGGGGCTCCAGACTGGCTGGATGGGGGATGGCTTCACAGATGAGCACCAGGCATTGCAGGGGAGGCTCGGAGCGAGGGCTCCCGCTGGGGGAAGTCTGTGCAGGGGGCTTGTAGGCCCTCATATGTCCTGAGCAGTGCAGCACCTTTGGGTGAAGCGGGGCGTTGTGAGTACCCAGCTTAGCCTTAGGCTACCCACGGGGCTGGGAGACCTGTGTCTGGGTCCCATAGGGAACTGGGGAGAAAAGATCCTTGGTTATTCTAGAAAGTCATGAGGAGCTCTGGGATTCTTATTCTAACCCTCGGGGAAACTCGGGAGACTTAATTCAGGAGGCGGAGGACTTTTCCATCCTTAATGTCTGGCCCCGGGATACTCAATTTCATAGGTATTCTAACACCCTATCGGACTCAGTTTGAAGGAGTTCCAGCAAATCTGAGCCCGGGAGACCCCAAATCCAATAGGGAGTGAGATCTTCAGGGGTCAGACCCCCTGAGACCAGGCCCAGCCTACCTTCCAAGTGGCGGCTTTGAGGTTGAGCGTGCGCCCCCTGCTGGTAAGTGTGCTCTTCATACGCAAGGAAAAGTGGCGCTCGGTGCGGGCTTCCAGCTTCTTCTTGGACAGGCCTAGGAAGGCACAGTAAAGGGGCCATGTCACTAAGTGAATGTTAAAGTCTCCCCAGCCTCAGAGCGGTTACGAGAGGGTACTACTCTTGTAGACGGACCAGAGTGTGGATCCCAGAATCTATGTCAGGCAGCTCACAACCATCTGCAACTTCAAAACCCATGTCTGGCCTCTGAAGTCACCTGCACTTACATGTACAATCGTTCCCGCCCTTACCCTCCCCCCCACGCCCTACTTAAAATAAAATAAAATAAAATCTTTCCCTCCCTCCCACCCTTCCTTCTTTCCTTCCTTTCTTCCTTCCTTCCTTCCTTCCTTCCTTCCTTCCTTCCTTCCTTCCTGCCTATTTTTTGGAGACAGGATCTCACTACTTAGTTTTGGCTGTCCTGGAACTCACTGTGCAGACCAGGCTGACCTTGAACTCAGAGATCTGCCTGCCTCTGCCTCTCCAGTACTGGGACTGAAGGCATACATCACTACACCTGGCAAAGATAAAATCTTAAAGTCTCCCCAGCCTCATTCCCAAACCTGGAACCAGGAATGGGAGCACCCAGGGAAGGGAGCCCTCAGGGAAGGGAGCACCCAGGGAAAGGAGTCCCCAGGGAAGACAGTCCTCAGGGAAGGGAGCACCCACGGAAGGGAGCACCCAGAGAAGGGAGCAGCCAGGGAAGGGAGCAGCCAGGGAAGAGAGTCCCCAGGGAGGGGGAGCCCTCAGGGAAGGGAGTCTCCAGGGAAGGGAGCACTAAGAGCATAGCTAGTTCGCTCCACTTTTCTCTACGCAGGTGTGCCGGATCAGGGAGAGGAGAGCTGGGTCAGTTTCCTACCCTAAAAAGTGGGGTCTGGGCTTGCAAGGCACTCACTTGGCCTGAGGGTCAGGGCATCCTGGAGTTCCTCTTGGTCACAGGGATGGACAAAATCAAAGATGCTGTGTCCGATGAGCTCCAGCTGGGGAGGGGCAGAGTTTGTAGTGAAAATGCATTTAACAGGACCCCCGTGCTGGCTCCTCCTTTCTCTCTCTCTGCTTATCATTTTTTGCCCCAAATCAGGAGTCTGGTCGATGTCAACAGCTTCCTCAGTCACTCATTCACTCACTCCTTCGTTCAGTAACCCGTTATCAGCACCCAGTAATTGCTAGGACCCTTCCTAGTGACTGGATCAGTCATACATGGATCCTTGCCTTTCGGGTTTTACTGGGTGGTATGCATACATGTGTGTGTTGGGAGGCAGCAGGGTAGGGTCACATCATAATGAGATACTAGTATAAAAACAGTGGCCCCAAACAGTTTCTTTGAGGAGGTGACATTTGAAAAAAAAAGTTTGGGCTGGAGATGTGGCTAAGTTGGTAGCATGTCTGCTTAATTCGGACCAGGCCCTGGGTTTGATACCAGACACAGGAAGTGGGGATGTGGAGGCAGGAGGATCAGAGGTTCAAGGTCATCCTCAGCTATATAGTGGGTTTGGAGCTAACCTGGGCTATGTGAAATGCTGTTTCAAGGTGGGGGGAACTCAACAAAGTAAGTGAAGTGAGTCTGTTGCTCTCTGGAGTAAGACAAGTCTTTAAAAACGGGAGTCTGCAGGGTGAAGCGACCTACATACACCTCTAATCCTAACATTCAGGAGGCAGAAATGGGTGGATCTCTGTGAGTTCCAGGCTAGCCTAGTCTACACGTTGAGTTCCAGGCAAGGTAGGGCTACATAGTAGGACCCTGTCTCAGGAAGGGGAGGAGGGCGTGGAGAAGAGACAGCTCAGTGGTTAAGAGCACTTGCTGCTCTTATAGAGGACCTGGGTTCAGTTCCCAGGACTCATACCAGGTGGCTGATAACTGCTTGTAACTCTGGTTTCAGGGGCTCTAATGTGCCCTTCTAACCTCTGATGGCACCTGAAATGCTCGTGATGTACATACATATATATAGGACCCACATGCCATGCACACAATTCTCTCTCTCTCTCTCTCTCTCTCTCTCTCTCTCTCTCTCTCTCTCTCTCTCTCTCTCTGGGCCTCCCACATACACATAAAATAGAAACTTTTACTAGTAATAAAAAACAAATAAAAATAAAACCAGGAGTCACAAATGCAAAGGGTGAGTCACACCTCCCGGGCAGGTCAAAGAGTCTGTTACTTGTTTCTGTTCAGCAAATGAGCTGGGTACTGGGAGGATGGGACACAGATGAAAAATCACCCACAAGTGGGATCCAACCCAGTGGTGTGTGCATGACACAGTACTCTTCCCCAAACACCTCTTGTGGGTTTGAGAGCTGGCTCTATCGATTTCTAGTTAGGAACTTTGGGACAGTCACTTGTCTGACTCTGAGAGTTCACACTCACAGAGAAATTGGTACCAGGAGTGGGGTTATGCATCAGAGGGAAGGAACAGAGGTCCACTGTACAGCCATTTACATGAAAGAGAAAAAAGAACACAAACTTTCTCACACAGGGTTTACGCTAAAGACGAATTAAAGTCAATTCTAGTCCCCAAATGTCTTGCCCAGCTTCTCTTCTCCCATCGGAGGAGGGTACCCACTCCCTGCAGGCCCCCTAACCCCTAGTCTTCCTCTATCTCCTTTCTAAACCGCAAATGCGACTCTTCCTCTTTAGCACAACCTCTCCCTCGCTGTGACTCCTTCCATGGCTCCCCAGTACCTTGGAGACAAACCCTCTCATTTGAACACACATTATCTGTGTGTTGGACCATCTGACCTCTTCATCAACTATCCTCTGGTCCATGATCAACTTAGTCATTTCTCCAAAGCGTCCCTTTGTCACCTCACCTCTGGGCCTTTGCCTGAGCCGGGCTTCTCCATGTACCGTTGTGATCCCCACTGTCCCTCCCGCCATATTCTTTATGACCGGCTAAGTTGTTCAGGTTTCAGCTAAGATGCTCTTTCTTCTAACCAGCCCCCAAGTCCGGTTCCTCCCAGGCTAGGTTAGGCCTCTGGCTCCACAGTCCCTACAGCTAGGCTGTCCCATCACAGCTTCCCCCACTCGGTCTGGTGACATTCCTCTCTTCCCTCTGCCACACTGTGAACTTCATAAAGGAAGACCCAAGGTGGTGGTGAACCATGGTCCCCGCCCCGGCCCCCCTCCCCCGCATCAGTGGGGGAGGTGCAGGTACAGAGAAGGCGGGCTCACCTGACTGAGGCCCAGGTGCTTGCTGACATTTTCCGACAGGTAAACCATGTCTCCTTCGGCGGTGAGCACCATGACGAACCCCTCAAGGGCCTTCAGGTAGCAGGCGTCCAGTGGCTCTCCCCCTGTTCCCACCTGGTTCCACTCCCCTGGTGCCCAAGCCGGCGGGGAGGGGGAGGATGGAGCAGCTGTGGTCAGTCACGGATCCACCCTGGCTAGCTTCCCTCCATCTTTCCTCACCCACATGAACTCGTAGGAATGCCCAGGAGAAGAGACAGGAGGATCTCTGTGAGTTCGAGGCCAGCCTGGTCTACAAGAGCTAGTTCCAGGACAGCCTCCAAAGCCACAGAGAAACCCTGTCTCAAACCCCCCTTAAAAAAAGAAATGCCCAGGAGAGTGGGGGGTGAATTCTAGAGACTTGGAGTCTCAAGCCAGGCCAGGCCACTAAGCCTTGGAAAGAGCAATGTGGACTCCCAGAGGGGACAGAACCCCTCAAGATTCTAAGACTGAACTCTCTGAGGAGCTGAAATTCAAAGTGGCCTGGGGCGGGGGCGCTTGCAATTCTAGAGTTGTAAGTTTTCTAGAACTCTTCTGGGGAGGGTATGGATGGCCTGCCAGATGGGCAGAATTCTAAAATGTCAGGGACTTCTAGAAGACAGAATTCTATTACATTTTATTTATTGATTTCCTGTGCATGAGGAGATCAGAGGACAGATGACAGAATTCTAAAGGGGCATCCCTCCTGTCCTCCGAATTCTATGGGGCAAGGGAATTTTTTTCTTTTTGTTTTTTTGAGACAGGGTTTCTGGAACTCGCTCTGTAGACCAGGCTGGCCTTGAACTCACAAAGATCTGCCTGCCTTTGTCTCCTGAGTGCTGGGATTAAAGGTGTGTGCCACCCCCACCAGGTGGGCAAGGAATTTAATGAATTTAATGGACAGATGCTCAACCTTTTCCAATTTTTAGGGGTCTCTCTCATTTGTGTGTGTGTGTGTGTGTGTGTGTGTGTGTGTGTGTGAGAGAGAGAGAGAGAGACAGAGATAGAGACAGAGACAGAGACAGAGAGAGTGAGTACCCAAGTCTCTGGTGGCTAAGAGAATAAGAAATGGAACTAGAGGAAAAGAGGGGAGAGGGGAGAGGGTGAAGAGAGGCTATCAAGAAATTTTGAAAAAATGGTTGTGGAGCCTCTTGGGGTGGATGGACCAGGATTGGCTAAGCATGGTGGTTATGTGGAACTGAGGCGGAAGGATCAAGAATTCAAGTCTTGTCTGGCCTACTAAGTTAGTTCAAGGCCAGTTTGAGCAAACTAGTAAGACCCTGTATCAAAATAAAACAGTAAAAGGAGGGCTGGGGGTATGGCTCAGTGGTAGAGCCCCTGCCTAGAATCCCCCAGTGAGGGGCTGGGGGTGTAGCTCAGTGGTAGAGCCCCAGTGAGGGGCTGGGGATGTGTGTGCCTCAGTGGTAGAGCCCCTGCCTAGAATTCCCCAGTGAGGGGCTGGGGGCATGAGTTGTGGAGTGTTTGGGTGCCACACCCTTTGGATTTGGGTTCAATCTCCAGTATGGCAAAAACAAAAACAAAAACAAAAACAGAACAAACACATAAATTGCCGATGTGGTGGTGCATTCCTGTAATCCCAGCACTTGAAGGCTGGGTGACTGGGTGGGTGGGCAGAGGCAGACAGATCTCTGTGAGTTCAAGGCTAGCTTGGTCTGCATAGCAAGTTCCAGGCCAGTCAGAGCTACACAGTGAGAACTTGTCTCAAAAAAACAAAACAAAACAAAAGAAAAATCAAGAAACAAAAAGGAAACAAACAAAATCAAGAGGGTAGAGACTTTAGTCTCCACCAAAGATCAAGCCTAAGGTTTCAAGGGGCCGCCTTTAGATTCAAAGGGGTGGAGCCTCACAAGGGCTTTCTGAACCCAGGGCTCCGATTGGTCCAGCACTCGAAGGGTGGGTCCTCGTCCAGGGAGGATTCTAGGGCCAGGGAGGCGGGAAAAGGCTTCCCAGGGGCGGGACCTCCGCATGGGGGCAGGGGCGGCGGGTGTGGCGTGGGGTGGGGTGGGGGACAGGGACGGACACGAGGGCGTGTTCCGGGCTCACCTGCAGCACAGAGGCGGTGCATGCGCAGGTAGCTGATGGTGAGGCGCATGATGGAGGCCTTGTCCAGATGCGCGCTGACGCCGCGCGCGAAGGGTAGCGTGTGCGCCAGCTGGTACAGCACCTCCGTCTCCTGGCTGCGCCGGCTGCGCGCCGCATCCCGCGACTTCTCCTTCCGCAGCTCCGTGCTCGACCTGTGTGTGGAAAGGGAATTGGACACGACAGGTCCCATGTGGGCCCACTTGGGGCCCCGGCGACATCGCTGGACCCCGGCAGCTTCTCTCCTTGCCCCAAATTTTACCTGTCTTGGTCCCAGCCCATGTGGCCCTCCCTGCCGGGCCTTGGCTCGGGCTTCTCCCCCAGGATGTGTGCCTAAGGCCTTCTGTCCTCCCCAGGATTTATCTGCAGCTCATTTCCCGGAGCTAGAGGGATAGGGAGGCCTCCCGATGGGAGGGGGTGGGAGAGCTGAATCCAAGGGAGTACTAAGAGCCAGCACCCTCCCGGGCTCCTTTCCCACCGAGCTTCCCCTCCTCAGACAAGCCGACTCTCACAGAGATATCTCGAAGCCTAACCAAAGGGGCCTTAAGAGGGGCAGGGCCCCAGCAAGGGTGACACTGCAAGCCAACCCCTGTGTTCTGCCCAGCACCTATACCCTTCAAATACACTTCAAATGCCTGAGACACAGAAAGAGAGAGAGATCTCCATCTTTCACCAGTAATATTATTATCTATCAATTACCCATATTCACTGTTAGCCCCCCCCCGCGCGCCAAGTGCCAAACCCATTTAAAACTCCTTAGTGGCGCTCGCCTTTAATCCCAGCACTTGGGAGGCAGACCTCTGAATTCGAGGCCAGCCTGGTCTACATGTCCAGGCCGGTAAGAGCTACGTAGTGAGACCCTGTTTTAATAACCAACCAACCAAGACCCCAAACTTTATCTGACACCACAGTCTGTTTGACAGGGTCTCCCTGCGTAGGTCAGACTGGCCTTGAACACCCGATCCTTCTTGTGCCTCTACTACCCAAGTGCTGGGGTTATAGGTTTGTGCTTCCACACTTGACTTATATGTCTCTTTTTGAATGTTTTCTTTTCTTCTTAAAAAAAAAAGGGGGGTATATTGGGCTGAGTGGTGGCGGTGGCCAATTTATTTATTTGGTTTTTCAAGACAGGTTTCTCTGTGTAGCACTGGCTGTTCTGGAACTCACTCTGTAGACCAGGCTGGCCTCGAACTCACAGATGTCCGTCTGCCTCTGCCTCCCTAGAGCTGGGGTTAAAAGTGTGTGCCACTGCGCCCCGTTATTATTTGAGACATGGTCTTACGTAGCCCGAGTCGAGGATGACTCTAGGCGTCTGATCTTGCCTCCACCTCTTGAGTGCTGGATTATAAATCTGTAAGCACGTCACTCTGTCTGGCCTCGACAGAGGGAACAAATTTAAAACCCACTTTATAAGGGGGGAAATGGAGACTCTGAAGGGTGAAGCTCTTTGCCCAAGAGATCACACCACCAGTACCGGGCTGAGCCCAGTCAATGAGGTACCTCAACTTTTCTCTAAGCAACTCCGTGTGATGCCCGCCCCCTATCCCAGGAAGCCGACTCTGGGATAGCAGGCTGCTCTTTTCCTAATAGTCATCAATTCGGGGAGCAGAGGCCACTTCTGGGGGTGGGAGGGCTACAAAAATGTTCCAGTCTGGGTGCGGTGCGGGGGTGGGGTGGGGTGGGATGGGAAGCCGTTAGTGCGAGGCTGTGTGAGGCCCTGACGGGGGCAGGCTGGCCTAGGATTGGAGGAGCCAAGGGGGCGCCCTCATGAACTCCCTCTCGGCTGGTGGGGGCAGGGGCCTCAGTCCTGCCTGCCCAGAGGACATTCCGTCCTGTACTGTACTGTTCCAGTCCTGTTTGTCTTCCTGCCCAGAGGGTGGGGGCGGGCGGGCCTCCCTGAGCTGGGGGCCCTGGGACAGAGGGAGAGAGAGGGGGAATGGGGTGGGGGTAGGGCCGGCGCCCCACCTCCCGGGCAGCTGAGTTCTGTAATCCTACTCTGCATGGCTAGGGTGGCAGGGTTTCTTCCTCCATGGAAGGAGCCAGCTGGTGGCTGCAAAGGGACCCTCCTTCCCCTCTCGGTCTGTTCTCCGGATGTTCTGACGGGAAGTATGGGCCTCTGGCTGACTTTCTGGTCTTACTGCGAAACAGTGGGGGCTGCCTCTTCTGGGTCAGGGTTCCAATTCTGACACTATTATTGCCCTTGCTCATTTGCCGTGTGACTTTGGGCAGGTTGCCTAACCTCCCTGGGCACAGTAATGACCCCCACCTCCTCAAAGGGTGTTTTTTTTTGTTGTTTGTTTGTGTAGCTCAGACAGGCCTGACACGTAAGATCCTCCTGCCTCTTCCCTGGGTGCTACTGTCATAGGGCTGTATCACCATGATGGATTCCTCCCGGGGCTTGAAGATTAAATGAGTTAATATATGTCAGAGGCTTAGGAAGCCAGGCCCAGCCATTGGCTAGTGTTAGTAATGAAAGGCTCTAGTTTATGAGTCTTTTGTACCCTGGAGTAACCTATGTGCCTCTGAATGTGCAATAGTTAGTCATGCATGCAAGTATTTGTGTGTGTGATTATGAGTGTGTAAGCACATGCCCAGTTTTTACAGGAATGCCTTAAAGGAATAGAATAACAGTGATGCGTGTTGTACGCTCAGGAACTAGCGACACCCCCCTCCCCATGCAGCCTTACAGCTATTACACGCAGCAGAAGTGACACTCTCCCTTTTAAAAAGGCAGAGACAGGGCCAAGCCTGACCACTTGAGTTCGAACCCCTGAACCCACCTGGGTGGAAGTCGAGAAATGACTCCTGCAAGGTGCCCTCTGACCTTCGCACACTCCCACAGACAAGCACACAGCCCCTCCCCCATCCACACGGGTTTGGAAGTAAACTGATTTTTTTTAAAGGTAGAAAGGGGGCCTGAGATGTATGTAGCTCAGAGGGGTGGGCATTTGCCTTGAAGCACTACATAAATGGTGTGGTGGCACCGGCTTGCCTGTCTAGCGCCAGGGAGGTGGGAACAGGAGGGTGAGGAGTTCATCCCCGGATGTGGTGAGTTCGAGGCCAGGCTGTCTGTCTCAGGTAGAGTCTGAGGTTCAGAGCGATGACACCCCGTCCTGTGCCAATCACGCGATCCTTCCTAGACTCTCATGCCCATTCCCATCTGCCCTGCTCAGTGGCTTCTCAGTTAAGCCCCCTACCCCGGTCTGTACCCATCACTGCCTTCCTGCTTAAGGAAGCCACTTCAGACAGGTGACAGAAGTTGCCTGAGGCCACATAACATAATAATCCCTAGGAAAGTCAAGTCTGTTGACTTCTGGCACCTCATTGGGTGTGTGTGTGGGGGGGAGGGGCACATGTTTCCTCACTGGGAGAGATCCGACCCCCTCTTATCCAAGACTTAAAGTGGGCGCTTAAGGGAAGAAATCTCTGGGCCAAGATCTCACAGCTTGGGCATTTGAACCCTGGCTTTAGGGCCTGCATTCTAAAAGGTTAATTCTTCAGGAGGGTGTGCCCGCCAGCCAAGGGACCCCTGCCTGCTCCTTTCTGCCTGGTGGCCTAAGTCGTTTTCTCCTGTCTGCTGCAGATCTCCCTAGCTGGCCCAGCTCTGGTCCAACCCCTTGGCAGGGTGCCCAGCCTGGGACGTGCGCCTGGAACTTTGCCACCCTTACTCCGTGTTCTAGCTGAGAACAGAGGGTGTGGCCAAGAGGCCCAGGGTGAGGCCTGGGAAGGGAGACTTGGGGCCCAGGGCCCCTTAGCCAAGAGAGCAAGGACCCCATCTCTTTGCCCACCCCAAAGGCTTAGGAGATTAGGAGAGCCTCTTTTTCACATTCTGGCCCTCTCTTCTGACTCTCAGCTTGGTACTGGGGGGCTGGCAAAACCGTAGAGGATTTAAGCTGTGGTGGAGGCTTAGCTTTATATCTGGGCAGGGACCCCTTTTGATGCTGCTTGGAGGTTACCTGAGAGGCCAGGTGGCAAGTTTTTGGGAGAAAGGACTCGGGGTAGGGACCAGTGCCGAACCTCTCTGGTCTCAACAGTGTGGTCATTTGGCTATCCAGTGGGGTGCCAGTCACCAGTCCCGTTCTTACGGGGATCCCTGCTTTCAGGTGGGTACAGGGCAATGGGTCATTATGGATTTCCCAAGAACGCACCCACAAAGGGTGAGATGGCTGGAAGCTGGAAGAAAGAAGGGGTGCGCACGGCCGGAAGAGAACCACTTACCGTTACCCAAGCCCCCTCGGATGCCAAGTGCCATCCTGTGGGCGCAGGAGAAGACCGGAGCGCAGCCGGGAGGCGGGTGCGAGTTACCAGTGGGTGTGCTCCATCAGATGACACCACAGGAAAGGGCTGGCCTTGGGTGCCGAGGGGGGGCACCCTAGTTTTGCTAAGAGAGGCCCCTCTCACAACCATAAGGGGACGCTCTCACGGGCGGCGCCAGGGCTGTCCTTGCAGGGGTGGGGAGGGAGTTCCCTGGTGGGCTCAGAGCCAGAGTTGGAATAGAACTGGAGAACGGGAGAAGGGGAGCCCGGGTGAGTTGAGGTGGGGGTAAAAGCGGGGTGTAGAGAAAACCAATCAGACCAAGAGAACCAGAGAGGAGGGACTGTGGTGAGACTTGAAGGGATGCCTCAGTTTACACAGGGAATGCCGAGGGTCTAGCTTTCTGGGGTCTCCTGTGGTAACCTGGCTATGGTCCCAAGGCCTTTGCACCTGTTGCAAGGTGAACACAGAATCCAACCTATTCCCAGGGTGGCCCAGCTGTGCCCGGCCACAGGAAGGCGCTGCTTTCGTCGCTTCATCAGTGAGGGCATCCATCTCTCGGAAGGATGTCCCTCAAATAGGCTTTGGGTGGGGCCCTCCTCCCTCAATTACAGACTGGGCGGGGGCAGATGAATGGAACAGAACCAGGCTCTTTGGGAAGTGGGTCAGGCTTGTCCCGTTGGTATTAAAAAGGGGTGATCCTACTTTTTAAAAATTCTCTCTCTCTCTCTCTCTCTCTCTCTCTCTCTCTCTCTCTCTCTCTCTCTCTCTCGGAGACAAGGTCTCTCTATGTATAGACCAAAGCTGGTCTGGAACTTGCCATGTGGGCCGAGCTGACTTTGAAATCATCATTCTCCCGTAGCTTCCCAAGTGTTAGGTTTACAGGTGTTGAACTCCCCTCCCCAGATATCATCCCACTTTTTTTTCCCAAAGGATAAAGGACCTTGGTTGGGTCCCACATAGACTCTAACGAGACATTCTTCCCGGTCATTTCTAGGGCAGCTTGAAGCTTGGGAGATTGGTAGGATAAAAGATAATCTCTCTTCTGGGAGTCAAGTGGAAGTCTACCAGGGGCTCCCTATTTCGGGGAAACCTCAATTTGGGGATCCCTTTTTAAGATCACAAGAGTCTGACGGCCAAGAAAGACTCAATCCAGGGGCTTCGAGGAAAGCTTCTCTCGGAAGAGAGGCCACTGATCAAACGCAACCACCTCCAATCCATAGGAACTTGGAGTTTCACTCCCAGCCAGGAGGACTGAAGCCGGTGTATCAGGAAATCACAGCTCACAAACCCAGAGCAGTTCTTGGGGAGGGGGGCGGGACAGCTGGAGCTCTGGGATAAATCCCAGATCCCCTGCAACCCTCTAGGGTGGAGGGTGCGTCGGGGATGCGTCCCCAATCGCGCACCCCAGAGTATCCTCAACTTGAGCCACACCCCACAGATGAGGGGTTCCCCCACACCCCCGTCAAGGAGAGCCCCCAGTCCCCATCATCCAATCCCCGAAGCCCTGTACCTCATGCGCTGCAGCCCCAACGCCATGGCTCGCCCTTCGGAGTTCCTGAGCCCTCGATGCCCCGCGCCCCCTCCCCTGGTCGTGTGAGCCCCCTCCCCAGCTCCGCCCCTGCCACGCTACTGGCTACTCCTTGCCCAGCCCGCGGCTTTGATTGGTAGGTGGGCTTGTTACTCCCAAGGAGGAGGAGGGACTAAAGGAGAAGACTTGGAACTCCAGGGGGGTGGGGGAATCCTGTGTAATGCACACCCCCGGCCACGCCCCTGCCTCAGACTTCCTTGCAGTCCGAGCCCGCCAGGCGTGATTTCCCTCCAGTCTTTGAACTCCCAAGCGTTCACTTCGGAACCCTCTGATTCACTCTTCTCTGCGTTCCAGCTCCCAATCGCTGTCTCTCCCAGCATAACCACCCACAGTCGGGCCCCTCCACACCCACCCCGTCCAAACCGCCCCTCATCCTCTTTTCCCCCTGCCCTTTTCCTAACGTACCAAGCCCCCACCTCTCCTCTCCACACTTAGCTCCTCTCCATCCGTGTTCCACAACCCCTCGCTCTGCCAGAGACACTCCACTGTGGGGATCCCACTCTGGACCCGCCCCCACCTCTCCTTCCTTGTCCACCCCTTTTCCATTCCACCCTGACCCCGTGGCCTCTCTTAACTCCCTGTGCAGGTTCCTGCGGATGAATAATTAAGCCTCTGACAAGTAAATATGCTGTAGCTCCATCACACCCACGGAGAAACGACGAGAGAGACGTGCGCAGGGACCACGGACAGGTGGAAGGCGGTACAGCGGGGTAAGGAAGGACGTTCCTGTGTAGGCTGGAGAGGGGGTGGGGCACCAACAGACGAGGGTGCCGGTGCGGCGTTCCTTCCACCAGCAGGCTTGGGCACACTCCACACTGCGGCAGGCAGAAATGGCATTACTGTTTTTGGATTATTGGGCAAACGCCATCTCAGGACCTTTGGACATGCTGCACGCTCATTTTCGAGTGCTCTTCCTCCCAGGTTGAAGGTTGATTTAGTAGGGACCCACGGCTTGAAAGGAGAGAACCGACTCCAGAAAGTTGTCCTTTGACTTACACACACACACACACACACACACACACACACACGCACGCACGCACGCACGCGCGCGCACGCACGCACACACACACACACAGTAATAAAAATGGTTTCATTCTAGAAATCCACATACTTAGGGCCTCACTGGGGGATTCTAGGCAGGGGCTCTACCACTGAGCCACGCCCCCAACCCCTAGCCCCTCACTGGGGGGTTCTAGGCAGGGGCTCTACCACTGAGTCTGAAGTCCATTGTTCTTTTTAGCAATCTGGTCCACAGGGCATCTACCGTATGTGTGTATTCTACTTCACAATGATAAAAAGAAGTTGATAAAGCAATTATCGTTGAGGAGCTCTGAGCTGACTGGAGGTAAGAACCGGAAGTAGAGATCGAGGATCCTCAAAATAGAATTCGTAGGCATGTGGAGGGGGGGTTACTCTGAGGTGTTTCCAGAGTTTCTTTCTTTCTTTTTTAACCATTGACCTCCAAGGGGCAAAGCTCACTCTTCTCCCTAGTGTCCACTGACGGTTCCCAACAGCCATGGGGTATTCGATGATTATCATTGCCCTGATATTGAGGGGTTTGCTATAATTTATTATAGTAATTTAAGTTTTAAATTAGTCCAAACTTGTATATAGTGCATTGTAGTCAAAATCACTCCCTTTTAACTTTTCTTTTTCAAGACAAGGTTTTCCAGACATACCTGGCTGTCTGGGGCTTGCTCTGTAGACCAGGCTGGCCTCGAACTCTCAGAGATCCATGTGCCTCTGCCTGCCTAAGTGCTGGGATTAAAGGGGTGCGCCACCAACGCCAGGCTCCCTTTTAACTTTTCTTATCCATTCCTGCTCTTGCTGACTTCTAACCCTTCCCCAGTTAGCCCTCTTCCTACTTTCATGCCTTTTTTTTTTGAGGGGTGTGTGGGGCAGGTCGTGTGCATGTAACCACGGTTGCTGTGTGCTCATGTTTGTAATGTCCGTGTCATATCCAGAAGACAACATTTTAGGGCTCTCTTCCCTATCTTCTGGTCCTTACAGCCTATCCATCATCCCCTTATCCATGTCTCCTTGGTCTTGGAGGAGAGGTGACAGAAATGACTTGTTTAGGTTAAGCACTAAACAAACAAACAAAAAACCCTATTCTCAGCTATGGCCATGTGTAAGTCCCTGCAGCTGAGAGCTGCATTAGTCTGTGTATACAAGCAGACATGTTTAGGAGGCAGTTTGACTTCATGTTTATCTAGGAAGCCATCAGCAGGAGATTCCCCCTGGAGTCCATCCATGCCCCTCTGAGTTATAGATTTTTGGTCAGGTTTACAGTACCAGGCATGAAACCCCTTGTGTGGATTGGGCCTCAGATCCAATCAGAAGGCAGTTGGTTCTGCCTGGGACATTTGTGGCACTACTATACCACTGAGCACACCTTGCCTTGCAGGCTGGTATTGTAGCATGCAGAGCCTACAGCTGGGTGAAATCATTGATGCCTTTCCCCATTAGCAGCCTCTCCAGCACCTTCCAGAACTATGAACCTGAGGCAGCAGGAAGGAAACTTCCAGATTCCTTTTAGCCTGATTTCTCTGTGTCTTCTGTCTTCTCAGGGTCTTACTATCTAGTTCTCATGGGTGGCTAAGAGCAATGACAATTCTCTATCATTTTGGAAGCTTTTAGAGGCTCCAAGACCTCCAGGATACCTAGGGAAGTATCCTGTACCTGACATTGAGATTTTTCAATTTAAACTTCAACTCCTGATCCCTCTACCTTTGACCCTCAAGGTCTTGGAGTGGGTCACTATACCCCACTTCTCCATTTCACATGGCTCACTTTAGGAATCCTCAGTGTTTTAAAAGGATGTCAAGAAGTTTGCAGGGGCCAAATTCACAATGGAGCCCTAACTAAGCCTGGTGTGCCCTCTGGTGGCAGGAGGTGGGATGACTCTACTGATGCCTGTGTTCTATGTGGCTGTGAAGAAATATTTACATACATACATCACATATTTTTAATGGATTGATTTTAGATTTTAAGTTCTTTTCTCTTTGCAGGGAGAGGAACTAGAGAGATGGCTTAGTGGTTAAGAGCACTGACTACTCTTCCAGAGGACCCGGGTTCAATTCCCAGCAGCCATGTGCTCGTAACTGTCTATACTCCAGTTCTAGGGGCTCTGACACCCTCACTCGGAGCATATACAGTCAAAACAACCAATACACATAAAATAAAAATAAACAAATTAGCCGGGCGTTGGTGGCGCACGCCTTTAATCCCAGCACTCGGGAGGCAGAGGCAGGCGGATCTCTGTGAGTTCGAGACCAGCCTGGACTACCAAGTGAGTTCCAGGACAGCCTCCAAAGCCACAGAGAAACCCTGTCTCGAAAAACCAAAAAAAATTATAAAAACGATGTGTTTTGAGGGTGCTTGAGAGACATCTCAGCTGATAAAGGTGCTTAACACTAAGTGTGATGACCTGATTTTAATGCCTGGGACTCACAGGTTGAAAGAGAGAACAGAATCCTGCAATTCTTCTGACTTCTATATATGTTCTCTCTCTGTCTCTTGTTTGTCTGACTCTCTCTCTTTGTCTCTCTTATTTGCACATGAAAATAAATGTAACTAAAAATTTCCAGCCTTCCTTCCTTCCTTCCTTCCTTCCTTCCTTCCTTCCTTCCTTCCTTCCTTCCTTCCTTTTTCCAAGACAGGGTTTCTTTGTAGCTTTGGAGCCTGTCCTGGAACTCACTCTGTAGATCAGGCTGGCCTTGAACTCACAGAGATCCTCCTACCTCTGCTTCCACAGTACTGGGGTTAAAGACCTGTGCCACCACTGCCTGGCTCCAGTTTTTCTTTTTGTTTTTCAATACAGGGTTTCTCTGTGGAGCTTTGGAGCCTATCCCGGCATTCACTCTGTAGACCAGAGATTCTCTTGCCTCTGCCTCCCGAGTGCTGGGATGAAAGGCATGCACGACCAAAACCGGGCCTCTAGTTTTTCCTTTAAGCAAATATTTTTATTTTGTGTGCATGGGTGTTTGGCCTGCATGGGTGTCTGAGTACTACATTCATGTAGCACCTGTTGAAGTCAGGAACCGGTGACAGATCCCCAGAAACTGGAGTCACAAAAGATTGTGAGAAAGCGAACCTGGGTCCTCAGCAAGAGCAGTCCCTGCTCTTGATCAGCATCTTTCCAGTCCGCATGCGCGGGCGCGTGTGTGAGTTTATGTGTGAGTGTGAGAGAGTGTGTGGGAGTGAGTGTGAGTATATGAGAGGGTGTGTGTATGTGTGTGTGTGTGTGTGAGAGAGAGAGAGAGAGAGAGAGAGAGAGAGAGAGAGAGAGAGAGAGAGAGAGAGAGAGAGAGAGAGAGAGAGACTTCCTATGTATCTCACGATGGCCTATAACTCTTGATCCTCCTACCTCCACCTCCTGGGTGCTAGGACCATGGTCATGCACCATCACGCTTAGGTTCATATTACAATTTAGTAAATTCACTGACATATTATATGGTGAGGACTTTTTATGCCTTTCCTGTCATGCAGTTTAACCTGGTTTCTTTCTGAGGGAGCTATGATAGTCAGTCACTCTGCTCTCTGAATCCTCTGGAATACATGGTGACACAACACCCCAATATCTGGATATTTTCTTCTACTGTTTTTTTTTAAGATAGTCTCATTGTGGAGCTCAGGCGGGCTTGGAATTCACAGAGATCCACCTGCCCCTGCCTCCTGAGTGCTGGGATTAAAGGCAGGCACGATCATGCCTGGATGAAAAATTTCATATTGCATTTTATGTATTTATTAATTTCCTTTACACACATGTGCATGCATGTACACGTTCATGTGAGTGCACACACACACACACACACACAAGCATGCACATCACAACACTCACAGAGAGGTCAGAGGACAACTTGCAGGAGTTGGGTTTCTCTTTCCACCTTGTGGGTCCCAGGGATCCTACTCACCCCTTCAGACTTGGCATCAGGCACCCTCACTGACTGACCCTTCACCAGTCACCCAAATACTCCCATGTGTAATTCTTTTTTTTTTTTTTTGGTTTTTCGAGACAGGGTTTCTCTGTGGCTTTGGAGGCTGTCCTGGAACTCGCTCTGTAGACCAGGCTGGCCTCGAACTCACAGAGATCCGCCTGCCTCTGCCTCCCGAGTGCTGGGATTAAAGGCGTGCGCCACCAATGCCCGGCCTCCCATGTGTAATTCTTATGAAGAAAGACACTCTCTCAGGGTAACCAGAAACCAATGGTTCACATCACTGCCCTCCAATTGCTGGGTGCCCTTAAATTGGTTTTGTTAGTCTCCCTTTCCAGTGAACGCTTGTCTTAGTTGGGGTTATTATTGCTGTGATTAAACACCATGACCAAGATCTCTATGAGTTCAGTGCCAGCCTGGTCTACAGAGAAAGTTCCAGGACAAGCAGGGCTGTTACACAGAGAAACCCTCTCCTAAAAAACTGAAAACAAGCAAGCAAACCCAAAACACCACGACCAAAGCAAGTTGGGGCTTACACTTTTTTTTTAAACATTTCTTTTTATTTTAAAACAATCTTTTCTCATTTTACATACCAATCCCAGTTCCCACTCCCTTCCCTCCCCCTGTTCCCCCCACCTTCCCTCTCCCCACCCCATGCACTCCTCAGAGAGGGCAAGCCCCCCCCACATATCTAGGCTGAGCAAAGTATCGCTCCATAGAAAATGGGCTCCAAAAAGCCAGTTCAAGGGGGATGAATCCTGGTCCCATTGCTAGTGGCTGCACAGACTGCCCAAACCACACAACTGTCACCCACATTCAGAGGGTCTAGTTAGGTCCTATGCAGGTTCCCCAACTGTCAGTCCGGACTCAGTGAACTTCCACTAGCTCAGGCCAGCTGTTTCCGTGGGTAACCCCCCCAAATGGTCTTGACCCCCTTTTGGCTTACACTTCTAGATAACAGTCCATCACCGAGAGAAGTCAAAACAGGGACTGTTCCTGGAGGCAGGAACTGACGCAGAGATCATGGAGGGATACTGCTTACTGGCTTGCTCCCCATAGCTTGCTCAGCCTGCTTTCGTTCCTTTTTTTCCATTAATTTATTTTTTACATTCCAATTCCCCCTCCCTCCTCTCCTCCTGCACCCCCACTTCCCCCTCCACCCCACCTCTTATCTAGAAAGTCTACGAAGTCTGTACCATCATCATCTGGCCGATCAGCCTGCTTTCTTATAGAACCCAGCACCACCAGCCCAGGGATAGCACCGCTCGCAATGGGCTCTTCCAAGTCAATCACTAATTAAGAAAATGCCTTACCATGGGCCTAGGAGAGCTGGCCCTGCCCTTGCCTGAGGTGAGCAGTCCCAGTGGTCCAGACCAACCAGTTCAGATACCACTTAGACCTACATTCCGGGCCCATCTTAGCATCTACCCCATCTATGACCTGCTGGAGCTCGTGAAGGGACTGGTCCTGAGGAACAATAACCACAGGATCTCCACGACTTGGGCCAACAGCAGGATATCTGAGAAGAGTTTCCGTGGGGGGGGGGGGGGGTCAGTGATGATGGTTTGCCAGAAGCCTTGAACCAGACCAATGACTGACCAAATGAACATTTTGAGTGTGTGGCTGATTGGATGAAAGTGTATACTGAGGATCCCGATGTTACTGGGCTGAATTAAGAGGTGTAGGAAAGACAGATGAGGGAGGTTTTGTTTTTGTTTTTGTTTTTTCCAAGACAGGGTTTCTTTGTAACTTTGAAGCCTGGCCTGGAACTCTCTCTGTAGACCAGGGTGGGCCTGAACTCAGAAATACACCTGCTTCTGCCTCCCAAGTGCTGGGATTAAAGGCGTGTGCCACCACTGCCCTGCTATACAATATGTTTTGGTGTTATTGTCCCCTACTTCTTCCCCTAACCTCTCCCAGATGCACCTATACTTCCTTACCTCCCCCAAATTTGTGTCTAAAAAGAAAACAAAAAACCTCATTTAGTCTGCCTCGGGTTGCCATGCACCCTTGGGTGTGTGGCCTTCTGCTAGATCATGGTAGACCTACTAGGGGCCACGCCTTTAAGGAAATGGACTCTCCATTTCCTTGAAGCTCTCAGCTGTTCTGCTACGGATGGGGATTTGTGCCCACCCCCACCCCATGCTGCAGTTTTGTCTGACTGGAAGTTGTCCAGGTTTTGCGCCTGTCTTCACAATTGCTGTGAGTTCCTATGTGTCACTACCTCTAAACAAGCAAACAGAGCAACATGGCTTCAGTGTAGACATCCATCACCGCTGGCTCTTAGGATCTTTTGTCCCTTCTTTCACCATGTTCTCTCACCCTTGACAGAAGTGGGCATGTTATAGACGTGTCATTTCGGGAAGAGCAGTCTCTGTTCTCTGCCTGTTGCCAGATGAGGGACTCCACGTTGATTGCCATCTGTTGATGGGGACGTCTTCTATATATATGTTTCCCTTATTGGTTGATGAATAAAATACTGTGGTCAATGAGGCAGAAAGTATAGGCAGAGCTAGGAGACAAGGAGAATTCTGGGAAGAATCGGCAGACAGCAGACACCATGTGAGACCAGAAAGAGAGGACGTGTCTGGTGTTCTCCAGTAAGCCAAGACCATGTGGAAATACTTAGATTAATAGAAATGGGTTAATAATTAAGACAGAGCTAGCTAATAAGAAGACCTAGCTACTGGCCAACAGTTTTTATAATTACTATAGTGTCTGTGTGTTTATTTAGGGCTCAAGGGCGTGGGACCTGCCTGGGCAGAAACATTCATTCAACCATCTACCTCAAGAAGACCCGTCTTGGGTGAGGGGTGAGAGATACCGTGGTAGTTTGAAAGAAGAGGCCCCCAAAGGGCATGGCACTATTGGGAGGTGTAAGCACTGTCTTATTGGAGGACGTGTGTCACTGTGGAGGCGGGCTTTGAGGTCTCATACATGCTCAACCCACGCCCAGCATCTCAGACCACTTCCTGTTGCCTGCAGATCAAGATGTAAAACTCTCAGCTCCTTTCTCCAACACCGTGTCTGTCTCTACACTGCCATGTCCCACCGTGAAGATAACGGGCTGGACCTCTGAAACTGCAAGCCACCCCGTTAAATGTTTTCCCTATAACAGTTTCCACAGTTATGGTGTCTCTTCACAGCAGTAGAAACCCCAAGACAGAAGTACTGATTTATGGGTGTAGTGATAAATCATTAGGAGTATGTTTTTTTAAGCAAAGTAATAGGTTTTTACCTATAGCCCATGACCTGTCTAGCAATAGGTCCTTAGTGGTTCTTGGCATAGGATCTGTCTGTCTTGTGGAGTGGGCTCTAAGTCCAATAGAAAGTGGTTGGTTACTCTCATGTCACTTTGTATCAGTTGACGTATCTTGGCCGTTATTGTAGCTAGTGGGATTCACAGCTGTGTAAAATTAATGATTACTTGTCTCCTCTGGTAACCTGCATAACACCTTCTAGCACTATGATAGCTGGTCAGTAGTGGTGAAACTCCCAGGTGAGTACCAGCTTTATTCCTTCATGTTCTACCACCCAAGTAGGTGGTATCTTAAGCAGTAGGATTTTACCATGAAGGTCTGGAAGGTAAGCAAGAGCAATCCTGTGATGTTTGGGCGTCACAGGACCCTACTGATCAACTTCGGCAAAAGAGGTATGCTGGGTCCGGTGTTGTGTCGAAGGGCCGGTCCAGCCAGTCTCTTCCCGGGGCTGAGCCTGATGGTGAGTGTCAAACCCTCCCCACTCCTAGTTAGGAGAAATACACACTGAGTCGGGAGTCTGTGGAAGCAGGATCTCGCCTTATTCCAACAGGCAGGAACTTACAGAGGCTTGAGGTAGGGGATGGGACTCTCAGGATGGGCTAAGGTGACGTGAGGAGTAAGGGCCAATAGTATTCCACCAAGCTGACAGGTAGCCAGGCAGGGGACAGTCTTACAGGAGGCCTCGCTGAGTCACCCCCACGTGGAGGTTACAGGCCAGAGACAGGTCGCCAAACTCTAGTCAGGCTCAGGAGTTTACACTGGACCTCACATCCGAGCCTTCTTAGGCCCAACAGAGGCATCCTGTTCTTGGTTGTGGGCTTCTTATGCAACATCCTATGACATCTAGAAAGGGCAACCCCATTTAAACTATTTACATATGTATGTGTGTATGTATGTATGTATGTATGTATGTTTTTGGATGCTCCTGCAATAAGCAGGTTTCCACAATGACTTTTTTTTTTTGGTTTTTCGAGACAGGGTTTCTCTGTATTGTTTTTTTGGAGGCTGTCCTGGAACTCGCTTTGTAGACCAGGCTGGCCTCGAACTCACAGAGATCCCCCTGCCTCTCACAATGACATTTTCAAAGGACTTCAGTGTTAGTCGTCCCTGTCCCTCACCTATCCTGCCTCTCCCTTGGCCCATGTGGCCCTTCTTGCTCTCTCACTCGCCATCTCTTTACGCCATCTGCATTTGGCCTCCCCGCCCTTAAAACCCTGCCCGCCTCTCACTCGGTTCCTGACCTCTATGGGTGCTCCAGTTTCAACACACACATAGCTGAAGATTCAAAGCTAGCACCCACGTATGAGAGACAACACATGTCTTTACGGGTCTGGCCACTTCACTTGGAATCATTATTATTTTTGAAATAGGGCCTCAAGTAGCCCTGGCTGGCCTCCAACTCACTGTACGCATAAGGAGGATGTTGAATCCCCGATCCTTCTGCCCTCGCCTCCCAAAGTGCGGAGATTACAGGCATGTACCACGGTGCCCAGTTTTTTTTTTGTTTTTTTTTTTTGGTTTTTCGAGACAGGGTTTCTCTGTGGCTTTGGAGCCTGTCCTGGAACTTGCTCTGTAGACCAGGCTGGCCTCGAACTCACAGAGATCCGCCTGCCTCTGCCTCCGGAGTGCTGGGATTAAAGGCGTGCGCCACCAACGCCCGGCTCCGGTGCCCAGTTTTTAACCCTCACTGTTGCAATCCAGGGCCTCCTACGTGCTGGGTGAGTGCTCTATCAACCGAGCCACACCCCCAGTCCTGATTCTGCTCATTCTCGAAGTTGATGCCTATGTGTTTTGCTTGCCTGTGTGTCTGTGATCCACATATGTGCCCTGCTGGAAAAGGCAGAAGAGGACATCAGATCCCCTGGGAATGGAGCTTTGCATGTTTATGGGCTACCATGTAGATACTGGGAGCTGGACCAGGGCTACTCTTTACCGTTGAGCTGTCTCTCCAACACCTAATTCTATTTCACATAAGTAAGTACTGGGTACATTGTTTATTATTAAATCTCAACCTGGATGCTGTCGGATGCACCATTTCAAGGTGCTTAAATCCACAGTCCCATCAGACTGATCTTCTATTTGCATCATGTCAGCCATAGCCCAGAGTGTCCACTAGATGGCGAGCTCACTCTGGCCACTGAGCCATGTGTGAGGTAGACGCAGTCCCTTACAAAGTGAGGACTGTTTGGAGTTTTGGCACTCCTAGTTTCATTATGAGAGTGGGTGGACAGCATGACCAGTGTGAAGCCAGCCTTGTCTCTGTTGTCCCTGGTCCATCTCTAGGGATCGGGAAGTGTTCACTGGTTCCTCCTGATCTCACTGCTTTAAACACCAAGAAACGATGAAAAACAGGGTGAGTGACTCCCTGTCCACAATCATTGAATGACTGAGATACTAGTGACTAGCTGGTGGGTGTGTATACAGCACGGATAGGCTGGGCAAGGGATGGATCATGCTTTGGGTTGGTTAACAGGAGGCTGTAAGTAAGGAAACATGTGGGCGTTGCTGTTTCTTCGGCTAGTCTGTGCTTGGTCACACACTGAAACATTGTCGCCTTGAACCCCCATTAAGACCTCATTAATCCCGATGTTCCTCCTTCACCCATTGTTCAGTGCCCAATTCCTTTTTCAATATAATGCTTTTATTGGTTCTTTGGGGATTTCACATCACACACCCGGATCACACTCGCTTCCCAGTCCTTCCGTGTCTGCTTCCCCCCTAACAAAATAAAAAGAGTCCAATTCGTGTTATTTGCAAAGTCACTGGACGGTGGTCAAACTCTCAGTGGCCTGCCCCTTAAACAGAGTGGAGTCTTTCCCTGCTGCTCCCCTGCCAGAAGCCATTAGGTATGGAGAGCTACGCTTCAGGATCCTTATCACTTTTTGTTTGTTTTTTTTTTTCGAGACAGGGTTTCTCTGTGTAGCTTTGGAGCCTGTCCTGGAACTCACTGTAAACTAGGTTGACCTCAAACTCATAGAGTTGGGGGGGTGGGCTGGGATTAAAGGTGTGTGCCACCACCACCACCCAGCTTCTTTCTTACACTTTTAAGAGTTCTCTTTGAAGCTGGATGGTGGTGGCACATGCCTTTAATCCCAGCACTCAGGAGGCAGAGGCAGGTGGATCTCTGTGAGTTCGAGACCAAGCCTGGTCTACCTAGGGAGTTCCAGGACAGGCTCCAAAACAATACAAAGACATCCTATCTCGAAAAACCTGCTTAGGTTGTTACTTTTTCTTTGGGTGACGGTGGGGGTGACGGTGGGGGTGGGGGTGGGAGTGGGGGTAGGGGTGGGGGTGGGGGTTGCCACCAAAGACTTTTATGTCCCTCTTTCTCAGTTGTGTGTCTGCAGTCATCGGCACCACTGCAAAAACGGCTTCCTTGTTCTTTACGATCAATGGGAGCTTGGATCATGGGCTCCCACGATTTCTGGTGACAGCACAGATTATGCACATGGTCCCCAGGGAAAATAGAGCCACAGACCCAGACAAGGCCATTGTAGGCAGCCCGGACCACAGACGTCAACGTGGCCTCAGGTGGCAATGCAGGTCACTCATCAGTATGGGTCCCCCAGTAGCAGCATGGCTAGTGGACATCCTTATGACTTCAGGCTGCTGCATAGACAGATGTACAGCCTTTGGTGGTTAACATGGGTCAGGGACGTCAACACAGACCACAGCTGCAGCAGGACTTTGGACCCAGACATGGCCCTCAGCAGCAGCACGGACTCAAATACCACCTTAGCCTCAGGTGGCAGCACAGTACACTCATATCAATATAGCCCCTGGCAGCAGCACGGCCCGTGGGTATCAACATGGCTCCAGGCTTAGGCATAGATCAATCACAGCTGGATGATGTTAGGTGCTAACACAGACCATGCACATTAACCCGGCCCCCCCCTGGCTGCATCAGGATCGCCGACCACACGTGGCCCTCATCGGCATTATGGACCACAGTGATCCTTTGAGAAGGTCTAATCCAGAAAAGCTAACCATTTCTTATCTTGGACCTCCATCATTGCCCAGATTCAGGGCAGTCCCATGGCTCAGAACTGTGCTTGGGGGCCGAGTCTGCATCTTCGTAAGCTCCAGACTTCTGCACACTACCCTGTTAACCCCACTAGGCATAGACATGTCCCACCATCGACCTCAGTACTCTCTCACACTTGTCACTTCTGCTGTCACATCTCCAGTTCTTTCTGTCCATTGCACACACACACCGCTTGCCCCTTCCACCT